TGGACGTCTTCAGTGGAGTCATCTGTTTCTTCTGATTTTTAGTCACTGATGGCTGACATTAACCTCCCTCTATTTCATGTGAAACGATCTTGGTTTTAAACAGAGACGGAATTATGCTGCTTGAATCATGACGCGCAGCATGGATTCTTGGGCGTTATCGGAACTGAAACGCAGGTTACAGCTCTGCGTTCAAAAGGTTTAACTCTTGGGCAGACGCACAAGTATGTTCTTTGTGATACATCGACTATAACGGCAGGGCCAAGTTCTACTGTTCGGAAAGCTCAGCAACACAGCGCCAGCGTGTTAGGCGTAATTTCTGAATCCGACCCGATTTGACAGCTCATAGGCTGTCTATAAATAGACGCGCCCAAGTGTAAATGCCAAAGTCACCCGACTTTTTCCTTCTTCTTCTTCGAGAGATTTTTAACGGAAGGCCTCATTCGTTTCGCAACTCCTGGTGATCATGTTCGTGCTTCTCCTTCCTCCTGGGTTCAAGAAGAAGGCTTGCTCGCTTGCCAGATTCCGCTTGGCTGCTGCCGCCGCCAGGCGGCTCCGTGGCAGGCAGCGACGCCGCTCCGCTCCACCGGGTGGTGGTAAGTGCTGGCCATTCGTGCCGTCGAACTCGTCGGGAATTCTTAAAAGAACCCTAGATGTTGCTGCGCAAACTTTGCTTCGGCAGGGGGAAGTTATTTTGAGGAAAACCTAGATGGGTTCTTGCAAATGAGGGAAGAGACTCGTTCTATTCGTTTTGAGCGCAGAGTTAATATTACTGCGTTTTGGAATTCGAGAACGTCAGGGGCTGACCTGTGGGTTTATTAAATTTCTAAGGCCCTGAGGCTTGACTGTGCGTTCAAAACTTAACGGCAGAGTTTACCTTGCGTTGATGAAAATTAGCAGCCAGGTTTGAAACTGTGCGTTCAAAACTTAACCAAGATTTAACACCTTGCGTTGATGAAATTAACGGGCCAGGTTTGACTGTGCGTTTCAAAAAACTAACGCAGAGTTTAACCCTTGGCGTTGATGAGAATTCACGCCAGGTTTGAACTGTGCGTTCAAAACTTAACGCAGAGTTTAACCGCTTGCGTTGATGAAAATTAACGCCAGTTTGAACTTGTGCGTTCAAACTTAACGAGAGTTTTAACCTTGGCGTTGATGAAATTACGGCCATGGGTCTGAAGCTGTGCGTTCAAAACTTAACGCAGAGTTTAACCCTTGCGTTGATGAAAATTTAACGCAAGGTCTGAACTGTGGCGTTCAGAAACTTAACAGGCAGAGTTTAACCGCTTGCGTTGATGAAAATTAAAACGCAGGTTGAACTTTTGCGTTCAGAGCTTAACGCAGAGTTTGATCTCTTGCGTTGATGAAAATTACGTCAGATTTGAACTGATACCTTTTTCTTCTTTTGACAGTGGCTTACACCGCGAACGCTCTCAATCTCGTCACCACTTCGGGCATGAGGGAGGTGTGAGACTCTAATATGCATTAATCCTGCGTCAAGAACTTCCAATATTCCAGGCCGACAAGATCGCGTCACTCTGATTCAGATCAAATACTGATGTACTCAGAGTTTTAGTTACGGAGCGCTAATGTTTGAGACTGGGTCTCGCAAGAACTCACGCAAGCAGCTTTCTTAATTTTGGAGACCGTGTCAGTATTTCAAAAGGGATCAGTGCACAGGCGGTCACTACAATGGCTTAGGCCGATCGGTGATCGTCCTTCTTCCTCCGCTGACATGCACCAGGATGTTTCCATCTGCTACTTACGCAATGTGCTGTCCGTTTTCCCCGTCACAGTGAACTGGACTTGGTGAGAGAGCGGATGGGGTAGGCTGTTGGGTTCTGATCACAAGGGTGTGAATACCGCTGGAATATAAATCGACAAGTGTCGGCTGTTGAACGCTGTTATTCTCACGAGGTATCCTTTGGGAGAAACAGGCTAGTCGCGCTAACACTTACATGCGACGGTTTTTGGTGGCCAGAGAATTCCGCTGGCAGTATTCGCGAGGCTCCTGATGGGTTATTCCTCACAAAGACAGGTATGGTGGCACGAATGATAGAATTCGTGTTGGCAGAATTAGGACCAATTAGCTCAATCGGGCTTCTTGCCCTTATTAGCTACTAAAATGGATAGCCTTAGTCCATATAACTTATTGCCTTACTGGAGCGGTATCAATCAGAGACTTTGTAACGTTTTCACAGAGATGGACCGGAAGAGAATTAGGGGTTCGCGCTAACCATGAAATGTTGATGTCTGCAGCTTCACGTCTTCCTA